CAAAAAACAAAAACAAAAATATAAGTCAACTTTATTTTTTCCAGAGCAAGTTTAGATTTTAAAAAACAAGACAGAGAGAAGGTTTCCAAATATGTCCCACATCCAGCCTCTGCTATTACTGTTCCTCACAATTACTGAGCCAATATTGAGGCCTGTTACTTCCTAATGTCCTAATGCCCATATATGCAGATTCTCTTACTATTTACCTCCATTCTCTTGCTATTTACCTCCATCCAGGATACCACACTGTATTTCCTCATGTCTCCTTTGGCTCTGCTTAGCTGTTAGTTTTTCTCATTTTCCTTGGCAGTTTTTTTTTTTTTTTTTAATCAGATCCTTTGCAGAGTAGCCCTCTAGCCAGATCAGACCAGTGCATTTCTGACTGGACTTGGGCAATGGGTTTGGGGACAGGAGCACGCAGACGTGATGTGCTATTTCACCACCACTCATCCAGGGGACATACCACAAACATGACCTCACAGGTGACAAGATGGCCATGACCTTGCCGCTCTGGCTGAGGTGGCGTTTGTTAAGTTTCTCCACTACATTAAGCCACATTTAAAGAAAATTGTGCTCCGGGCTGGGGAGGTGGCTCAGTGGTAGAGTGCTTGCCTTGCATGCATGAGGCCCTGGGTTCGATTCCTCAGCACCACATAAGCAGAAAATGCCGGAAGTGGTGCTGCGGCTCCAATGGGAGAGCGCTAGCCTTGAGCTGAAGAGCTGGGGGCAGCGCCCAGGCCCAGAGTTCAGGCCCCACAACCGACCAAAAAAAAAAAAAAAATGAAAGAAAATATGTTCCTCATTCTTGAGGATAGTATCTACATAAAGTATTTAGATTTTATTTTGTCAGTCATGGGGCTTGAACTCAGGACCTGGGCACTGTCCCTGAGCTTCTTTTGCTCAAGGCTAGCACTCTACCACTTGAACCACAGTGCCAATTCTGGCTTTTTCTGTGTATATGGTACTGAGGAATCTAACCCAGGGCTTCGTGCATGCTAGGCAAGCACTCTACCACTAAGCCACATTCCCAACCCTCTACATAAAGCATCTGGGACTCTTCTGCTCAGTGTAATGGTTTGGGATTTTATTTTTATTTTAAATAATAATTAAATTTTGTGGTTCTGGGGCTTGAACTCAGGGCCTCGGTGCTGTCCCTGAGCGTCTTTGTATTCAAGGCTACTGTTCTACCAATTAAGCCACAGATCCATTTCCAGATTTTTGAGTGGTTAATTGGAGAGTCTCAAGGGGACTTTTCTGCCCAGGCCAGCTTCTAACTGCAATCTTCAGATCTCAGCCTCCTGAGTAGCTAAGATTACAGGTGTGAGCCACCGGCATCTGGCTGGTTTGGGGATTTTAAACCATTAAGTTTGGTATGGTTTAATATACAGAAAGATGTATGAAACACCATCTCCTGGGTTAGGAATGTGGCTTAGTGGTAGAGTGTTTGCTTAACATGCATGAAGTCCTGGGTTCGATTCCTCAGTACCACATACACAGAAAAAGCAGGAATTGGCACTGTGGTTCAAGTGGTAGAATGCTAGCCTTGAGTAAAAGAAGCTCAGGTACAGTGCTCAGGCCCTAAGTTTAAGCACCATGACTGGCAAAAGAAAGGGGGAGGGAGGAAGGGGGGGAAGAATGGGAGGGAGATAGAAAGAAAGAAAGAATTAAAGAAATACCATCTCCTGTCATATTCTGCTATGTACATGCTACAAATGCTTCTCCTCTCAGCCCCACCCACCCACCAACAAACCCAAACAAACAAAAATACCTTTGTCCTCCGTATTAAGTCTAATTGTGTCTTAGCCTCTCTGCTGTGAAGGAGGATGTCAGTGCTTAGAGCTATGTGCACATTTAACATAAGTATCATGGTGGACATGGTTCCCTCACTTAGACCAATAGTTCTCAATGTGCAACATCATTTAGCACTTCCATATTATATGAATATATGTAATATGTTCTATTATCTGTGGCTTAAAGTCAAGGCCTGGAGCTGAAATTTTTTTGCTCAAGGATGCAGCTCTACCACCACTTGAGACACATCTCTACTTGCAACTTTTTGGTGGCTAATTGGAGATAAGAGTCTCACAAATTTTTCCTGTCTGGTCTGACTCTGACCCACAATCCTCAGTTCTCAGCCTCCTAAGTAGCTAGGATTACAGGTGTGGACCACTGGTGCTGTTTGTTCTGTAGTATAGCTAGGACATCAGTACATCATAGATGCCTAGTAAATGCTTTGTTCACTTAAAGTGAATGTCTATATAACTCTTTCATTTTTTGACAATTTATCTCAATTTTTAAAAATGAAGAAAGGAGGGGCTGGGAAGGTGGCTCAGTGGTAGAGCACTTGCCTTGCATGCCAGAGGCCCTGGGTTCGATTCCTCAGCACCACATAAGCAAAAAGAAAATAAAAGCCAGAAGTGGCGCTGTGGCTCAAGTGGTAGAGCACTAGCCTTGAGCTGAAGAGCTGAGGGACAGCGCCCAGGACCAGAGTTCAGGCCCCATGACCGGACCCAAAAAAAAAAATGAAGAAAGGATGACATAAACAGCTGACATATAACAGATGTAAAACTGCCAGGTGATACACGGCGCTACTCTGTAATAGCCAGACGAGGCACAGGTACATGCATACACGCACACGTATGTGTGCGCGCGCACACACACATACATATAACATTAAATTCAATGACTGAAAGCCATGAATCATAGATAAAATGTTTTTCAGATCAACAAGTATACAGATGTCAAATACAGCAGGTCCTATGTACTTCTCTCTAAGAAAATCAGGCCAAAAAGTGTATACCTGTGGACTTCCTGTTAGGTCTTCTATGTTTCACAAAACATACTTTTCATACTTAACCTCTAAAAGCATGGAACGCTGTGTTCATTCTACTCAATACTTTGTTTCTCATACACTGCAGGAAAATCAAGCCCTGTACATCAAGCAATATTTCAATTAAAGCTTAGCTTTCCAGGAAAAGAATATAGTACTAGCCAGAGCACCCTAGAATTCCAGCCTTCTTTATCATCATATTTCATTATAAATTAATCATTAGGATCTTGGGGGGAAGAGTGTATGGCTCCCTTAGAAGTCCTGGGGCTGGTGTGTCTTGGGTCACGTGTGCATGTGCACGTGTAGGTGTCAGGGAGATCCTACAGCAGAATCTGTGTGTCTCACTGATTCTCATGAGCCCTCAATAGAACACAGGGTCTAGACGGGCCTGATGTTTTAGCTACAAAACCAAAGAAGAGAACTGGTGAGACAGGAAAGGAAGAACAGAGGACTAGATGATGACACGTATTAAAGGGGGATTTAGAAAGATGCTGAGGGGCTGCTTGAAAGAAGGACTCAGAGACTCTGCACAAACAGTGCTTTTCTGAAGCCAGCTCAGGAAACACAGAGCAAACAAGGGCACAGCCTCTCTAGAATTCAACCAATCACAGCAGGAGGCCTAGAGGCAGTGAGGATTGGTGCGATAGGAATGCGATGACATTTAATGAATTCAATGATGTGAAAGACCCACAAAATTAACCATTTTAAGATGAACAATTCAGAGGCATTCGGTATATTTACAGCATGTGCAACATCTCTATCTAGTTCTGAAATGTTTCCATCATGCCAAATGGAATCCCTGCCCCATTGAGTGCTTACTCCCATTTCTCATTTTCCTCAACCAAGTTCCAGAAACTACCAATCTGGACTCTATCCATGTTTTTTTTTTTTTGGGGGGGGGTCTGGTCGTAGGGCCTGAACTCTGGGCCTGGGCACTGTCCCTCAGCTCTTCAGCTCAAGGCTAGCGCTCTACCACTTGAGCGACAGTGCCACTTCCGGCTTTTTTCTTTTTGCTTATGTGGTGCTGAGGAATCGAACCCAGAGCTTCATGCATGCAAGGCAAGCACACTACCACTGAGCCACCTTCCTAGCCCCTATCCATGGTTTTGTTAATTCTTCATATCATGTTAAGGAATGAGACAACGTGTAATCTTTTCTGTTCAACATAGCACACTTTCGAGTGTGACACTGCTCCACTTTTGGTCTAGTGCAGATAGCAATAGCAGCAATCAGGTACCCCAAACTTGGGTACAACCTGGGCAGTAAACAATGTGACCCTCAAAAGCTCCAAGGAAACACTATAGCCAATTCTGAAGAAGAAAGGGGATAGGCAAAGGGGACAAGGGTCCCATGTGACTGGGCCAGGAAGGAGTCACAGAAAGTCAGGACATGGAACTACACAGCAATAGTAATAATGATAAACACATAGATAATTACTTATAGAGAGAGTTGACAAAGACAGTATTCCTTCAGGCTTAGTGATCTAAACCTGATCTAAACAAAAAATCAATTTAGTGATCTAAACAACAAATCAATTACCACTTAAAATTTTCTAGCCAGATGCTGGTGGCTCATGCCTATAATTCTAGCTACTCAGGAGGATGAGATTTGAGGATCTCAGTTCAAAGCCAAACTGGGCAGGAAATTCCAAGACTCTTATCTCTAATTATCCACCAGAAAACCGGAAGTAGAGCTGTGGCTCAAAGTGGCAGAGGCTAGCTTTGAGACAAGGAGTTCAGGGACAGTGCCCATTCACTAAGTTCAAGCCCCACAACTGAAAAAAAAATTTTTTTCTAACATACTAATCTCCGAAAGTTATCAGTGACTACGTCTATGCAGCAAAGTAAGGAATAGCTTTTGACTTTTTACCTCTTGTACTTTGATTAGTTTTCATTTCATATAAGAATATATAATTTTCCTTATAGAAATTAAAAAATAAAGTACTAGTATGCTAAAAGTGAACCCTAGATTTGGTCAAATAAGTTTTAAATTTGTCATAAAGCATAACAAAAAATTATACAGAGAAAAAGTATCTTCTTGGACTTAGGTCATAATGCAAATCAATTTAATTTCTAGATTTATCTAAAACAAAACACCCACGCCACTCTTCTATTGCCTCTACTTTTTAGTTTCTATTCAAATTGTTTATATTGTTAAGCAATTTACCAACCTTGGAACTGCTTTCTTCCGACACTTCTCCTTCATTGGTTTGCATGGGAACAGACACTGTGCAAAACTTTGCAGAAATGCAAAATACTGCCTGAAAGAAGAAAAAAAAACATACGTTAAGGAATGCAGGACAAGAGTTGGCTATTTCAAAGCTCTAAATTGAAATTCAGTAACTGAGATCCTGGGCACTGTGAGGCAGTGACCTTAAACCACTTAGGTATGAGTATGTGCACACACGCACATCTAAGGGGAAAAAACAGTTCCCCCTCCTTGGATGGATCAGGCTATTAACAGCTCTAGATTTCTTCCCCCATGGAAATCTTATTGTTTTTGTTTTTTTAAACCTAGAACTCAGAGCCTGGATATAATCCTTTACTTAACTTTTTCACTCAATGCTAGCACTCTACACTTGCACTAGAACTCCACTTCTGTCTCTCTGCTGGTAAAATGGAGATAAGAGTCTCATGAACTTTCCTTTAGGGTCTGACTTCAAATTGTGATCCTCAGATCTCAGCCTCCTGAGTAGCTAGGATTATAGGCGTGAGCCACCAGTACCTGGCTGGATATGGAAATCTTCAGTGGTTCTTGCAGTAGGCAGAAAGGAGACCCTTGGAGCCAAGGTGTGTACCAGAGTTAGGTTGCAGAAGGTTATGCTGCCATCATGCTATGTCATGCTACAGCGACTGGATGGGTTTCTTGGATTCATGGTTATATTCAACATCCTTGATTTTTTTTATAACTAAAATTAAAATGTATTCAATCCCTTTTTTTTTTTTGTCAATCATGAGGCTTGAACTCTAGGCCTAGGCACTGTCCCTCAGCTCTTCAGCTCAATGCTAGAGCTTTACCACTTTGAGCCACAGCACCACTTCTGGTTTTCTGGTGGTTTATTGGAGATAAAGAGTCTTATGGACTTTCCTTCCTAGGCTGGCTTTGAACCGTAGGTCTCAGATCTCAGCCTCCTGAGTAGCTAGGATTACAGGTGTGAGTTACTGGTGCTCGACTATCCCATCTTTTTATTTGAAGAAAACATGCCCAATAAATTCTTCATTTGTTTAAAAAAATAGTACTAGGCTATTTTGGGGGTAAGACATTTTTTCTCTGAAGAATATGAATAAAGCCAAGCCCTGGTGGCTCACACCTGTAATCCTAGCTACTCAGAAGGCTGAGATCCGAGGATCGTGGTTCCAAGCCAGTCCAGGCAGGAAAGTTTGTGTGAGACTCCTGTCTCCAAATTGACCACCAGGAAACTGGAAATGGTACTGTAACTCAAAGTGGTAGAGTGCTAGCCTTAAATGAAAAAACTCAGGTACAGCACCCAGACCCTGAATTCAAGCCCCATGACAAAAAAAAGAAAGAAAGAAAAGAAAAGAAAAAAGAATGTAAGGCAAGCTAGGTCTTGGGGCTCAGGCTTGTAATAGTAACTGCTCAGAAAGTTGAGATCTGGGGGCCTGTGGTTTGAGGCCAATCTGAGCAGAAAAATCCTCTAGACTCCATCTCCAAAGTAACCAGCAAATTGCCTGGCTAAAGGCATGGCCCAAGGGGTATAGTGTTAATCTAGCAAGCTTGAGGCCCTGAGTTCAAAGTCCCTACTGCTCCTCAAATTATGCAACATATTAACAAACTCATTAAATACCTAATTATTGAAGAAAACTCAAAAAATACAAAACAAATCTCCATTAAAACAGAAGTACAAATGCTTATAAATCTGTCAAGCATTTTAAAATGGTTCATAGCTAACAAAAATAAAAGCTAAAATGATTTGTGTAACATCTGCTGGTGTATACCAGCCCTGGTGATCTGCTCTGGACTAGCCCCAAGACCTCCACTTCTCTTCTTTTTTTCTTTTTTTGGTCAGTTGTGGTGGGGCTTGAACTCTGGACCTAGGTATTGTCCCTCAGCTCAAGGTGATCACTTTACCACTTAAGCCGCAGCACCACTTCTTGTTTTCTGGTGATTTATTGGAGATAAAGAGTCCCATGAACTTTCCTGCTCCAGCTAGCTTTGAACCACGATCCTCAGATCTCAGCCTCCTGAGTTCTACTTCTTTTCTGCTTCACCTTCTGCTTCTCCCACCATTTCTGCTGGGCAGAAAGGGACTATCAAAGTAGCTACTGTGTTTATCTCACTGTGTTTTGGGAACAAATGTGAATTTAGGTAATGTGAAATGTATACTGAGTAGAGAAGAAGCTGTCACTTGACCTCTATTCCCTTTCTCCAAGGTAAACAAATACTGCCCGACAGTCCATGTCTGCCTGCCCCAAGTGAAATGGGCTTCCCTGAACTGATTTTTCCCCTCCTTCTTTATGGGTTTGTAATATTCTACAAGATACACCTACCCTATACCTCCTGGAAATTAATCTTATATTTGCTAAATAACTGACAGAGATATCTTCTAGTCCATGGGTTGTTACTTGGTTCTGTTGTTGTTTCTTTTGTGTTCAGAAGCTCTTCATTTGATGTAGTCAGTACCATTTGTCAATACTTGCCCTTGGGCATTTGGCATCCTCCTATTCAAAAAAAATGTAACTATGCTTATAATTTCCAGGATCTTTCCTATATTTTCCTATAGTAGATTTAAAGTTTCAGGGCTTACTTTAAGCTCTTGGATCCCAATGGAGTTTATTTTTGTACAGGGGAAGAGACAGTGGTCTAATTTCTGTTTTCTGCAGTGTTCCCAACTAGTCAGTGTTACCAACACCATTTGTTGAAGAGGCTCTCTGTTTTCTCCATTGTATGTTCTTGGCTCCTTTGTTAAAAATTAGTTTAACTATACTATTTGTGAGTGGAGACAGGAGGAAAAAACTGGGAGAGAGCAAAGCAAAGGGTGATATTCTTCAAAAAGAAACATACTAATAGCCGGGTGCTGGTGGCTCACGCCTGTAATCCTAGCTTACTCAGGAGGCTGAGATCTGAGGATCGAGGTTCAAAGCCAGCCCAGGCAGGAAAGTCCATGAGACTCTTATCTCCAATAAACCACTAGAAAACCAGAAGTAGTGCTGTGGCTCAAGGGGGTAGAGCGCTTGCCTTGAGCTGAAGAGTGCAGGAACAGTGCCCAAGCCCAGAGTTCAAGCCCCACGACCGACCAAAAAAGAAAAAAAAAAAAAAGAAACATACTAATATCTCATATATACAATTGTGATCCCTCTGTATATCACCTTTATAATAACAATTAAAAAGAAAAAAAATATTCCTGAGACTTCTCTACTGTTTTCACTGGTCTTCAGGTTTCTTTATGCCAATAACATGCTGTGTGTTACTGTAGTAGGTCTGTGGTAGGAGTTAAGAGTCTGATGGCTCTAGCAATGCTCCTTTTTTTTTTTTTTTTTGTCGGTCATGGGGCTTGAACTCTGGGCCTGGCGCTGTCCCTCAGCTCTTCAGCTCAAGGCGAGCACTCTACCACTTGAGCTACAGCGCCACTTCCGGTTTTCTGGTGGTTTATTGGAGATAGGAGTTTCACGGTCTCTCCTGCCCGGGCTGGCTTTGAACCGCGATCCTCAGATCTCAGCCTCCTGAGTAGCTAGGATTACAGGCGTGAGCCACCAGTGCCCGGCTAGCAGTGCTCCTTTTCCTTAGGATTTCTTTTGCTATCCAGGGTCTTTTATGCCTCTATATGAACTTTTGGGCTAATTCTACAATTCTGTCAGAAATGATATTAAGATCTTGATGGTATTACACTGATTATATAACCCTGCTTTTGGCGGTGTGTTCATTTTCATAATACTAATAACGCCAGTCCATGAGCATGGGAGGTCTTTCATCTTCTGACATCTTAACTTTCTTTATGATTTTACAGTTTTCACTGTAGAGGTCTTTCATTTCCTTAGTTCGTAATACCCAGGTATTTCATTTTTTAATTTAATTTAATTTTATTTGTGAACATACTGTACAGAGGGGTTACAATTACATGGGCAGGATAATGCATACATTTCTTACCAAGCATTGCAGCCTCCTCCTTTGGTATTTCATTGTTTTTAAGGCTAATGTGAATAGAATTAATTTCCTGATTGTTCCTCAGCCTGTTTGTTCATTGCTGGTATACAGAAAAGCTACTGATCTTCTTTTCTTCCTTCCTTCCTTCCTTCCTTCCTTCCTTCCTTCCTTCCTTCCTCTCTCTCTCTCTTTCTTTTATTGCTGGTCTGAGGTCCAAACTCTGGGCTTGGGTGCTGTCCCTGAGCTCCTTTTTACTCAAGGCTACCACTTGGGGCAGAGCGCCACTTCTGGCTTTTTCTGTGATTAATTGGAGATCAGAGTCTCACAGACTTTCCTGCCTAGATTGGCTTCAAACTATAATCCTCAGATCTCAGCCTGCTGAGTAGTTAGGATTACAGGTGTAAGCCACTAGTGTCTGGCCTTTTGATCTTTGAGCACTAACTCTGTATTCTTCTACCACCCAGTTTTAAAGTGGGGCTTAAAGTCAGGGCCTGAGTATTGTCCTTCAGTTGTTTTGCTCAAATATGGCACTTTACTAGTTAAGCCATAGCTTCAATTCTACCACTTTTTTTTTTTCTGATTGACTGGAGAAAAGAATCTCATAGACTTTTCTACCTAAGCTGGCTTTGAACCACTATCCTCAGATTTCAACCTCCTAAGTAGCTAGGATTACAAGCAGGAGCCACTGGTACCTGACTAGTTTTACCAGTTTTTTTGGTAGAGCCTGCAGGGTCTATTGAATATAACATTAGAATACTAGCAAATAAAGATAGTTTGATTTCTTCTTTCCCTATTTGAACCTCTTTCATTTCTTTGTTCTGCATTATTGCTTTGGATAAGAACTCTAGTACTGGGGCTGGGAAGGTGGCTCAGTGGTAGAGCCCATGCCTTGCATGCCAGAGACCCTGGGTTCGATTCCTCAGTACCACATAAGCAAAAAGAAAAAAGCCGGAAGTGGCGCTGTGGCTCAAGTGGTAGAGTGCTAGCCTTGAGC